TTTTGCATTGGTGGTGGATGGAGCTAGGAGCATAGGTTGAGCTATTTTATTTTTCTGACGTAGAAATTTGTCCCTTGTTGGAGTTAGACCAATTTTGCTTTCCTCCAAATGACAAACAACAAGTTTGAAGATATTTCAACAGGTATTTTCTTACTTAGGATATTTATTGCTATGAATAATAAGTAGTCACAATTTCCTTAGTTATTGTAACAAAGGACAGGCAGATTTAGTGTCATGTCATTTACTGAGGATCTTCTTCCCTCTGTGAATTCACAGGTTGCCACATGGACGTTTTCCAGAATCTTGCATTTTCTGATATTGATGTTGCCAGAGTTCTTACTCCAGATGCTTTTGTATGTCGAACCATATGCACCTATCATCCCACCTGCCTCTTCTTTACCTTCTATACGAATGCATGGAATGTAGAGTCACAAAGGTGAGTGTGACCGTGTAGTGTTTGCTGCTGTTCTTTCATCAGTTGTATTTTATAGGTTGAGTTTTTAAAAAGTTTTGTTCATTTCCCTCCAAACACTGGAAGTGGCAGTTTAAGTAGCTACCTTTTTGCCAGGTGCAGATTAGTTAAGAGATTAGCAGATTTTTCTACCTGCCTTCTCTTATTTAAAACAAACATACCATTGAATCAATGAAGCGTTCAATAGCCAAGGGGGGCGGGAAGGGGGAGGATCTGATGCCTTTCTTACTGATCTTAATGCTTTGTATTAGCCTGAAGTACAACCACTCACTGCCAGTGTATCCTTTAAGCTTCTTGGCTCTAATTTCTCTCCATTTCAGATTAAAGCTGGTGTGATCTCTTTACTTTAGATAACCCACCCTTTTCTGTACATAATAGCATGGAGCTAGGAGAAGGGTATATAGTTATATAATAGGATTAGCAGCATAAATCCCCAGAATTTATTCTTTGATGTCTTTTGTTTTTCCAGTTAAAAGGTGAAACTTTACCAATGCCATCTCTTCAGGTTATCCTTATGCCTATTAGTTCTCCAGAGGGAGATATGGCTTGATTTACGTTTAATCTCTGCAATTTATTAGAATCCTGTAGTCCTACTTACTTTAAAGAGAGTTTCTTGGAAGAATAAAATTTGCAGAGTTGCTTTTGGGATGTCAGCTGCTTTTGTATTTGCCTAATGTCTTTTTTGTTTGTTTGTTTGTTTTTGAGACAGAGTCTCACTCTGTTGCCCGGGCTAGAGTGCCATGGCTTCAGCCTAGCTCACAGCAACCTCCAACTCC